TGGGACCATCACCTGACCGTGGGGCCATTGGTATTCAGAAAAGATCTGAATAAGGACGAATGACTTCTGTTTTAAAACATTCACAAACAGGGGCATCTGGGTGGCTCAGTCAATTAGGGTCCAACTCTTGATTCTGGCTCAGGTCATGATCTCATGGTTCATGAGTTTGACCCCCACCTCGCGCTCTGCTCCGAAAGCGCAGAACCTGCTTGGGAGTCTCTCCCTCCGCCCCTCCCCCACTCGTGCTCACTTGCACAGGTGCACTCTCTCTCTCAAAATAAACTAACTTTAAAGTAAGGAAATAAATACATAGATAAGATATTCACAAACAATTTCCAAACTGTGATGACAAAAAAACATCGATCTGTAACATAAGACGGAGAAGAAACTCAGAACTGGCAAACACAGCTCTGGAACAAAGACGTTTCCAAGCACACGGCGGAAATTCCCACCTTTACCTCTGAATAAACGTCTGTGCCGCCAGGAGAGGGATGTCGGGAACATCGATGTCCTCGTCATTAGAGTAGGTGATGCTCCCGTTGTCGATATTTATCAGAATTAAACCGTCAGCTTCCTGTGAGTGTGTAAAAATTGATGTAAGAACCTGAACTTGTAGATACCTTCAGAAACACAAAAACACATTTGTGTTCACTAAGATAGTGAATTACTTAATTAAATTACCATATTTAATACGTACACAGAGTCTTATGTCATCTCCACCAAAAAATGTAGGCTAGACCGTGAGTTATGTTAACAAGCTAAATCTGATTAAACACGCGCAGTCTGAGTCAAGATTCCACATGTGTCGTTATCAGGCTTTCACCTGCCCTGGTGCAAACACTCTGCGGCTACTTCAGGAGCCTGGAGAGAACATTCCAGAACTCCACCCCTCGTAGGAAAGGAGTGTGGGCGGGGTTCCGGGCTCCGTGACCACACACACTTGGAGTTTCTGAAATATGTGTCTGAGTTCCTTGTAAAGGCCTCATCTGTGACAAGATGCACAATCCTGAGTCAACGCCCCAGGGTCCCGAATCCCCGAAAGGCGGTGCCAGAGTCTCTGAAGGCCCCGCTCCTCGGGTCGCATCTGGGCCCAGCCTCCTGATGCCCACGTCGGTGACACGTGAGGCCCGAAGGAAGCTGTCCAGACACGGACACAATGCCCTTTGTGAGCATTAATGCAGGTCACAGCACAGATGCGTGACAGGACCGTCACGGGACCGCTTCCAAGACCCCAGCCCCACAGAGGGAAACGTCCAGACACAAAACACGCTCTTCAGGCAAGAGCTGCTGCTTGTCCTGAAACCTTCCAGAGCAAGTAAATGCCTAAATGGGCTTCCTTCACGAATGCTGACTGTGTTAGGTCAACGTGCCAACAAAGTTTCCCTCCGAAGGGTCTGAAACAAGATGGCTTTTCCCCTAATGACTAAAAAAAGCAACACATTTCAAACTTCAGAGCGTGGATTTTTTTTCCCGTCATTTGCAAGGCAGACTGGGTGACGTTTCCCCCCGTTCCTTCCACGAAGGTCCGAATGGTCTTCTCCCAAAGTGTGTTTGTGGCTTGGTGAGTCACTGGCTTTGGCAAGAACGTGGCGAGAACCCGGCTCCTCCCTGGGCTGAACACAGCGCCTACCACCTTCCTGGGATTCACTCCAGAACGTTCCAAGTAAAGCAGGGCAGCGGGGCCCCACCTGACGAGGGCTGGAGACGGGAAGGGACCCGTGGCGTCGCCCTGACCTTTCTCCGTGTCTGCGCACACTTAGGAAACCCCAAAACAGTCACGGGAAAGCGACCCTGAGCAGACTGCCAGCAAGCACACGAAGGTGCGCACGTTATCAGTCACCGGGGAAACGCACGTCCCAGCCAGACACCACTTCACGCTCGCCAGGGTGGCTACAAGCACAGGCACGGGGACGGAGGCTGGTGAGAAGGGCGGAAAGTCGGAGCCCCTACATTGCCGCTGCACACACAGCCTGGGCTCTTCTCGAACAGCCAGTTCGTGTGTGACCCCGCCTTCCCAGCCTACGCGGCACGTACCCGAGCCGAGTGAGGCGCGTACAGCTGTGCACGGACGTTCACGACAGCCAAGAGGAGAAAGAACACGTGTGTCAACTGACGGAGGGGTGAGCGGACTGTCGTGATGTTCACACAAGGGGCCCTGTCCTGCGGCAAGAATAACGTCCGGCTGCCGGCGACAGCGTGGATGAACCTGAAACCGCTGTGCTGGGCGAGGGGAGCCACGAAAGGCCTCACGCGGACATGAAACCAGGTGGAAGGGGACAGACGGCAGGTGGTGGCGGCCAGGGGCAGGCGGAGGACAGCACGGGGGGACGCTGAGGCACCCAGGGCTTCTCCACGGGAGATGAAAAGGTCCAAAATTAGCTGGCACGAAGCCACTGAATTGTACGCGGTCACCGGGTAAACCTCGTGGTGAATGAATTTTACCTGAATAAAGGCGTTTTACAAAACCGAACCCGCCCTTCCTGCTGACGATACCACGACGTTCATTCCAAACCCGTGAGGTCAGCTCACTTAACGTACGTTGTTAAGCACCTGCTGTATGCCGAGTCCTGTTCTATTGGCTCCTTTGACCCTGGCCGCAATAACGCGGCCGGCACGCTCAGTGTCGTTTACGACCAGGACACGAAAGGGCGCGACGCTCGGTCACGGCTCAGGCAGAGCGAGCGAACGGCCACCGGATCCAGCAAGGCCCGCCCGCCGCCACCGTGAACCACACACTGTGTGTGCAGGCGTCCACGGCAAGGGGGTCCGCGGCACGACCAACGGCAGACGCGGGGCAGTCGCGCTGCCGGCTGTGGCGAGCGGAGCCCAGGCGTGTGCCGGGCGGGCGCGGGAGGGTCCCGGCTCACAGCCCCGCCCGGGAGGACGTGACCGCCTCAGAGGCGAGGAAACTGAGGCGCGGCAAAGGCGAGCACATCACCGGATGCCGCAAAACCAGAAGGCGGCCACGGCCAGGCGGGTGCCCGCGCTCTCCTGGCTGTTCGGCGGGAAGCCATCGAGCCCCGGGGATTTAAGCGGCCTCACGAGGGACACGAGGTCCCAGCACCCAGGATACCACGGCCCCGAACGCACCCCGAGGCCCGCGAGCGACAGCACGCCGTGCGTGTGGAGCCCAGAGCACACCCCGGGGACGGGGGTGACGGCCACCCCCCGCCCCCGGGGCCGCTCCGGGGGCGCTCCCAGAGCCGCCTGTGTGTCCCCGCAGGGGCGACCGGCTGACGGTGGAGGCCTGACCTTGCTGACTTCTTGGAAGTGGTCCAGGTGGCAGCCCATGAGGAAGGACGTGGGCGCCATGACGAAGTCCAGCATCTGGCCCGACAGGATGGGCACGAAGGTGTGCTGCCAGTGCAGGGGGTGCAGGTAGGCGAGGAAGCACTCGGCCACCAGGGCCAGCAGAGCCCAGCTGGACGAGAAGAACACGATGCGCTGCTCCGTCAGCAGGCACGTCAGGATCTGCGGGGACCGACCGCACCGTGAGCACAGCCCCGCCGGGCACCACGCGCCCACCGCCACCGGGCGGAGTCGCTTTCCCGGCCCCCGCCCCCTCCCCCACCGGGGCCCCTCTAACTCCGCCCCGTCGGCTTGAAGCGAAACGACGAGCCTTCCCAGGGCTCTGCGGGACGAGGCCCAAGCAGCGGGGGGCGCCCTGGGTCCGGAGGGTCGCGTACCTGCAGCACCTGCTCGGGCCTGAAGCACAGCAAGGGCAGGTGAAGGTCCAGGTCGACGACCGGGCTCTCGGGGTCCGCCCGGGAGGGAAACACGATCTGCAGCGGCTTCATGTTGAACACCTGCGGCGACCACGTTCCCCGATTAGTCCAGCGGCTGCTCCCACGGAGGCCGAACCCACCGAAACCCTCCGCTGCGGCTCCGGGTGTGCGCATTAGGCTACCTTTGGGGGGGCTCACGCTGTCACCTCACGTGTCGCAGAACGCCAGAGCCGTCCAGAGACACAGAAGCGCTGCTAAAGGCTCACGGGTGAATCGAGTACTTGGCGTCTCTTTCAGCCAAGGTTCCCCAAGCGCTCCCGTTAACGAGCAACCCGCCCGTTGGCAGCGACGGGCCGACACCCAGATGGCCCCCCACGCAAGTTCTAAGTCAAGCATGTCCGATTAGCTAACTAATCTTAGCTAGTACACTTTTTTTTTATCATTCGGGTCACTGCAGATTACAAATTCTCCCAGGATCTTCTATTTAGTTGTCAAAGCTCCTTGAAGACCTGTAATTCAAGAAACTGTTGAGAAAGACTCTATTTTTCCAAATGATATTATCTTAAAATAACACCTTAGTTCAAATTCCCTACACGCAGACGCCCCTTCTATGTTAACAGGCGTGGTAGACGGAAGGGGAAAGTGGGGGCACTGTAGGGGCCCCTCCGCCAAGAGGCCTTCCTGCCCGATGACAAGTTCATTCCTGACTGTGGGTGTCAGCCTCGAGGGGGGGTGTCTGGGAGACGCTGGGGCCACCTGCGCCCCCGCAGCCCCCCAAACGCACAGAACAGAGAGGCCAGAGTGCAAGCAGTGGTGGGAGAGAACACGGAGAGAAGCAGCATGGAATCTGAGGAAAGAGAAGCTCCGACCAGGCAAAGCGTGGAAGGATGAGAAATGGAGCAACATGGAAGACCAGGTGCAGAGAAGGTTCCAGAACAAATGTCCACAATCCACACCAAGTGAACACTCGTGTGAGAAACCCGCAGGTGGTGCGTCTGCTAGGGCCTCCTGACAACGCCGTCTTGTCACCCTGCCTGCCTTCCTGTCACCGACTGGTCCATGGAAGCAAAATGCATGACTTGTGTGGTCAGGAACACCCTCTTTATTTGGAACAAGTGAAAGCAGAGTTCAGTGCTCCAAGTCGTGGGGGCGCCTGGGTGGCTCAGCTGGTTGAGCATCCGACCCTTGGGTTTCAGCTGAGCTCCTGACCTCATGGTTTGTGGGTTCGAGCCCCACATCAGGCCCCACGCGGACAGTGCAGAGCCTGCTTGGGACTCCCTCTCTCTCTCTCTCTCTCTCTCTCTGTACCTCCCGCCTTGCTCTCTCTCTCTCTCAAAATAAATAAATAAACTTATTTTTAAAAATGCTCTAAGTCACAATGAACTATTAATAATTGTAAAGTGTATGGGAAAAACACCCTCAAATATTTCAAACAATAATTGTGTCAGCCAGCTTCCCAGCGACAGAGAACAACTAGATACGAACGCTGGGGATTCTACCAGAGACGTTGCTCAGCCCCCGGGACGTGTCCGCTGCCGTGCCAGTGACCTCACGGCACGTAAGACCCGCACCCGGGCAGCTGGGTGCTGTCACCCCACCCACCTCGCAGGTGAAGGAACAGAGGAAGGAAAGACATCTCAGGAAAAGGCTTGCCAAATTTCAGCGTGACTGGAGCCCCAGAGAAACACCAGGTTCCACACACGAAGCGACACAGGGAGTCTGTCAAGTTCAGTGGCAGGAAAAGCCACATCTCACTGCACGTCCAGTAACGCCCGTGATCCGCGAGCCCGTACAATCAGACCCGCTGGTGGGCGCACAAGCGGCGGGGGGCCCAGGGACGCGGGGCTCCCGGGGGCCGGGCTGCGCTCGGGCCGGTGGTCCAGGCGCCATCCGAGGGGGGCACAGACCAGACGTGCCCCAGCCCCAGAGTAATGGGAAACTGCACCGGGCGCCCACACACTCGGCTCAAAACACAAGATCTACAGCTGAGCACAAGCTGCAGAGCCTCTAAATTGACCTCCGCTCGCAGTGGGTTCTGGAAAATACTGCCGAATCGGCTCCTGGCCTCCACGGACTGCTCGCATTTCCCCAGAACTAGGAACAGTCACGGTGCCTCAACACTCCCTAAGACGGATCAGGGCCACTGGGTCCGTGGGAGCCCCAGAGCTAGTAGGACTCTTAGGGGAGGGTCACGGCAGCAAGCCCGCCCCAAAGTCGGCTCGTCCCGACGAGTTTGTGAAAATCAAGACCAGATCCGAACCCCTGAACCCGATGCTTCGCTCAACAGCTGTGGGAGAGGCAGATGCTGGGCGTGGTGTCAGCCCTGTGCACACGCAGCCCTCGGCAGGGCCTCCGTCCTCGTGCAGCTTGGAGTCCAATGGCGGAGATGGACACTGGACAAAACACACACGTGCACCAGCCCTAACCGCAGCCTGTGCTGAGCTCTGCAGGAAGGGGGCTGGGTGCTGAGAGCGAGACAGGGGTGGGAGGTCACCGAGGGGCTGTTCCGAAGAAACTGAGGGCTGAGCAGGAGCTGGAAAACGGACAGCTGCACTTCCAGAAATAGCACGTGCAAGAGTCCTGGGGCAGCACCCGCGAGGGACGGAGGGAACCCCAGTGTGGCTGGAGAACAGTGAGCAAGGGGGTGAGGACACATGACAGAGCTGGACAGGGACACAGGGGCCATGATGGAAGGCTGGCTGAAGGCATATAGCAAGAAATCATCTTTGGGTTTTCAGCACAAAAGGAGAGTCCAGTTTACAGATTTTAACAATCTTTGCAGCCACTATGCAGAGGATGAACTTAACGAAGGGTCAGGAAGGGACGTGGCCAGACCGGTGGTTCCTCAAGTCACGCTGGTGGGAGAAGCTGGTGGGCCAGAGTGGGGTGGTGGCAGCGGGCGTGGGTGCCTGGGAGCAAATGCCGGGTGCAGGCTGCTCAGGGGTGGACGATGGAGGGCACGCAGGGATGAAGGGAAGAGACGTGAAGAACGACCCACCGTAAACGTTCTCACCGGGGCGGTAAAAGTGGAAAAACCAAATATGAAACAGCCCAAGATTCTGAGGCACAGAAATTGGTACAGGTACTATCTGTATGCTACTCGTGCTCAAAGGCAGAATACAGTAAGCACAGTTAACCTGCAAACGGTTCTGAACCCGGTTCTGTTCGCTACTTAGCAGGTCCTCGGCGAATACCTGTTGAGTTTATAGAGCAAGAACGTAAACTTTGATGATTTCACTGTCCGATAAAAAATACCAATTATCCACATAATAAAGATGAGTTCCTTGCACAACACAACCCAATAAACGTTCCCTACAAAGGTTTCTGGGAGTGGAACCAAGGCATTCGGGCGACGGCTTGGTCTCCAGGCCTGGAACGCATCTGGCGGGATTCCCCGCCACCCCCCACCCTCTGCTGCCGACCACTGGGCTTAGGTTGATATTAAAAATGCATATTCTGAGTTCATAACCACATTTCCCTAAGTAAAACTGATTTCTCCACTGTGAATAATCATCAAAATGCAGAGAACCAAGATTTGGCTGCATAATCTTCCAGAAGGGACTGAGTGAAACGGAGTCAACATTTATGACCTGCTTCGAGATGCTAACCTGACAGGTGCCTGTTTGAAAACAAGAGGTGCCCTGTGGTTACGTCAGTCTGGAAAATGCTGAGCCAGGCAGGTGTCAGTCATCACGGCTCAGCAGTCTGGCCCATTACTCAGCAAAAGGGGAACGGGGGCTGCCTTTCTCCAGCCGTCCTTGACCTGAAACCCTCGTGTGATAAAACAGCTGACGTCTCAGAACGAGCGTGCCAGGGATCCCAGATCCCAGATCCACAGAGAAAAATTGAAAGTATAAAGCCAGGCACTTTTCTTTAACCGCTAAACGGGTTCATCCCCAGCTACACGCCCACTCATCACGGGCCGCTGGGCAAACCACCTTTAGAAATAGCATAATAGAGAATTCTGTAAGAACTTGAGAAGCTGAATTTAAACACGCCGAAACGTAAGAAACAGTTTAACACATTTAACCCATCTCCATCTTACTTCTTTTACTATTTGCAAAGAAAAGACGTAATTCCAGATTTAATTACCAGATGAAGTGGTCCAGGCGGTGGGCTAGGGATTAAAGATAGCTTTGCAGCAAAATCTTTTATGTGATTGTCAACTTCGAAATCTTTACAGAGCTTCAGATGAGTCAATAAACTAAAATTAAAAAAAAAAAAAAAATCAAATCACAAAGTGAGTCTGAGCATCCGATGGTCCTCCTTAGCATTTCTAATCCCAGCTGAAGCGTCTGCCAGGGCTGGCAGCTCAGAACTTTCTAGCAACAGGGAGACTAACCTGGATGTCACAGGGCGGGGAGCGGCTGCCCAGGATCCGGGCGTGCCCGGAAGGGGGCACAGGGGAGCTGGGGTGTTTGGGGGGGGGCCGCCCATGTTCCGTTTCTTGGTGTGGGTGCTGGCTACACGGGTGTGTTCCATCAGCGGGAAGTCACTGGAATTCGTGCGTTTTTCTATGTGTCATACTTGAGCGGGGAACAAACGTGCCAAGGGAAAGTACTTGACAAAGCTGGTTTCCCAAATGCATTCTGACTTTGGAAGTCCAGTAGGCCCTTGAACCACGCGGGGGTTAAAGGCACCCATCCCCCACGCAGTTGAAAACCCGCGTATAACTTCTGACTCCCCCAAAACTTCACTGCTGATAGCGCACTGCTGACCAGAAGCCTTACCGAGGACATGAATAACTGATTAACAGGTATTTTGTATGTTATGTGCCTTAGCTGCTGTATCCTTACAACAAAGCAAGCCGGAGAAAAAGAAAATGGTTTTAAGAAAACCACAAGGAAGAGAAAATACATTTACAGGACTGTACGGTATTTTTCGGAAAAAAACCCCATGCGTACGTGGACCCTCACGGTTCAAAGGCTCGGATGCATGTGATTTCAACGTAAAACGGACAAGCGGGTGCCAGGGGCAGAGGGGCTGGGAAGCGACCACAGGGCACGAGGGAGCCTTGGGGGGGTGGTAAAAATGTTCTGTGTCTTAACTGTGGTGTCTACATCTGGCAAAATTCAGCCAAGCGCCCGGGACACCCTGCCTCAGTCCCCTGGGGCGGACCCTGGCCCGGCCCACCGCCAGGGCCCATGCGTGCCCAGCAAGCCAAGCACTACACTCCTAAGTAACAATAACTCTTCCTGGGGTCCATATCGGGATTTGGAGATAATTCAATATTCCTCTGGGGGCACTTGGGGGGGCTCAGTCAGTTAAACATCCAACTTCGGCTCAGGTCATGATCTCATGGCTCGTGAGTTCGAGCCCCACACTGGGCTCTGTGCTGACAGCTTGGAGCCTGGAGCCTTCTTCGGATGCTGTGTTTCCCTCTCTCTCTGCCCCTGCCCCACACACACTCTCTCTCTCTCTCTCAAAAATAAATAAAAACATTTAAAAAATTAAAAAAAATACTCCTCTGTATTTATTGTAAAGAATTAAAAAAAAAAAAAAAAAAAACCACTTCCAGCAATCTAATTCCCCAAATATAACTGAGCATTCTCTCCCAATTCTTGTCCCCACAGAGGCAATTTACATGGTCTCATTACAGCAGAAAAACAGGCTTTAAAAATACATAAATCTGGGGCACGTGGGTGGCTCAGTCAGTTCAGCGTCCAACTTTGGCTCAGGTCGCGATCTCACGGTTCTTGAGCTCGAGGCCCGCGTCAGGCTCTGTGCTGGCAGCGAGGAGCCTCCTTCAGATCCTCTGACCCGGTCCCTCTCTGCCCCTCCCCAGCCCGTTCTCTTTCTCTCTCTCAGTAAATAAATTAAAAAAAAATACATAAATTTGTGTTTAGAAACTGCCTTTCTGGTTCCTGTCCTTTGTTTCTCCCTAGCTCTGTTTTCTAGTTGCGGCCACTTAGCAACGGCCATTGAAAGAGACAGAAAACCCAAGAAGCAAGGAAAATGGACACGCTTTTCAGCTTAAATGTCCGCTTCCATTACTGTCAAGCAGGATGGTGTTTGTTGCCAGCATGCCACCTGACGCGACAAGGGTCAACTGCTGAAGGCACAACAGGTGTCAAGACAGTGGAGCAGGGCCACCTTCCTTAGAAGGTGGCTGTGGTGTGGCCCTAGCCCGTCCATTCGAGACGGGGCGTGAATAACCCTCCCCGTCTCACCGAAGAGGTGACTGGGGACCAAGTGCTGAAGAAGATCAGTTAATGAATAAAAAGCGACCATGTCCTCATTTATTCTGGCCCTTCCCACGCCTGGGCAAACGTTCATTAATGCGCGTGCTCCCCCTCAAGTCACTCAGCCCTGAAATGAGACCAGGGAGTTCTCTGTTGTACAAGGTGTTTTACGTGTGTGGCAATAAAACGCAGGCTAGACCCAAACTATGTCCAAAGACCAGCCACGTTTTCCAAAAAAACAAAACAAAACACCCCCATGAAGGTGCTGGAATTTGAGTTACGAAGGCCGTTAGCTTGATCCGGATGGACTCCTGCTCAGCCCCTGGCCACGGTGGGAGAACCAGAGTCATGGCTTTCCCAGAAATGTGGGATCTGCCAGGGGTGGCTGGTGGGTGTGACAACAGAAGGGGGACCCTCTGTGGACCGCCTTCTGTCTTCAACCAAACCGCCGCCAACTCTAAGACTGTAACTTTGTGAGCGTGCACACGAAGCAGCTGGGGCGCACGTGGCCGGGGGGCAGGCCGTGTCTGTGCCACAGTCACGTGCCACGCGATGCTCTCTGGATTTTTCAAAAATTCTCTATATTCTCAGGCTTTCTCAGTATCAGCACTAAGACGGTTAAAGATTCCACCCCAAAAAAAGGTAATTGTTAAAATGTCAATGAACTCAGCAGAACTAATAGCAGCCTCCTGATTTTCTCAGAGAGCCAGGAACAGAGCTTTTCCTCATATACCTTTTTTAAAAAACCAAACATCAAATCCCATTAATTTTACTTCCAACAGCTTGGCTTTATCCTCCCTCATCTGGCAGACCTTCCCCACATGCCAGCATATCCAGAAGCATCTGGAAGCTTCTAGGTGCTCCCGGGGCCCAACTGGGGCCCACCCACCACCCACCAGCGCCAGGAGCGGCCTCACGGACAAGCAGGCACCCGGGGGGGCTCACCAAGACAGGCAGTCCTTAAGGGCGTTGTAATAGGGGAATCTGGAGACCACACACACGGCAAAGGGCACGAAGCAGCCAGCCGCACCCCCAGGTGGCCTGAACGGCTCCCAGTGCATCTTGCCGTTGTAGAAACAGGACTCGTCCTGGAGAGAAAGACACAGGCACGTGTCACCTCTCGACCCAGCTGGTCCCGGCTTCTATCCTCAGTAGTGTCGGCGTCTGCGGACAGAAGCGAGAAGCTCCCGCGTGGCTGGACTCTGAAAACGACACGCTGAGTGAAAGCAGCCAGGCGCAAAGACCACGTGCAGGGCAAGTCCACGGACACGAGGTATCCAGAACAGGCACCTCACGTCCCTGGAGGCAGAAAGCAGATGAGTGGTGGCCGGGGGCTGGAGGGGGGCTGGGGAGTGACGTCCAGGGGGGTGGGGTGCACAGCACCGCGAGCGCACTCGGTGCCACTGTTCCCTGCACGTGCTGCCACGCGCTGTGTGTCCCTGCACAGTAACAAACACTGGGACCCGACTTGGGGGGGGGTCCCCCGGAATCACGTACGTGCAGGGGTCGGTAGTACTGGGCAACCACGCCGTACGTCCTGTTCCCACAGACATCGGTCAGCACCAGAAAGTGGACAGAGTCCTCCTTCGGTTCGGAGGCCACACACACGCCCCCTGCAGATGGACAAGAGGAGATCTCATCACGGCTCAGAGCCGGGGCCGTCCGCCAGCCCGCTTTCCGCCTCCGGGACTCGCCCCTCCACTATCGCTGTGGGGCTTTGATGCCAAGATGCGCTAACTCTGGGGGTCAGCCCCTCCACGCGCGCCCCCTGCTCTGCCACCCTCTGTGCTCTGCAGAATTTAGCAAACAACACGGGGACGACCACAGACAAACGCTTCAGGCTGTGCGTGCGGAGCCGACGGTTTCCTGAGCACGGCAGGGGCTGCGGGTGTCCCGGGCTGTAACCCCGGAGACCAGGAGACAGCACCCGTTTCTCGGTGGACACTCCCAGACGGGACACGGCGGCGCGTTCCTCGTCTGCCTTTTCTAAAGCCCCTTGGGCGTTTCTCACCCACCACCGGAAAGAACAAAGGCCACCCACGACCGGGACCGCCAGTTTGGGGAAGGTGTGCAAGCCCAGGCCGCCAGCCCCAAGGGCACAGAAAACAGGCACAGCTGGGGAGCCCGGGGACATGCCACAGGCCAGCTGGAGGGCATTTTGACCAGCCTGCCGGACGTCTGGAAGACGGGACTGTAAGTCCAAGGTGAAAATCCTCGGAAAGCACATCTGCAAACCGCGACACCTGGCAACCCCAACAGCCCCTCTTCTGGGATTCAGTTTTCTAAGACCTGGGGGCGGCACTGGGTGGCCTGGGCACCCTCTATCCCCGAGACCCCTGCACTGAGTGGTCCGTGTATCCTTTAGCTCCGAAACCCCTGAGATTAAGAGAACCCAGTCCTGTGGCTCGACATCAAGGCTCAAGCGGTCACCAGCCCCCCTCTGTCACTCTCTAGAGGTGGCTTCTAGAAAGCACCATCGGTACGGCTGGAAAGCACGGCAGCGGATACCTGGGAAGCAGAGCTGAGGCAGGGCGAGCAGGTCCACGCCATTGGGGACGCTGACGTCTTCCGGAGGGGGTCCCTTCCAGGGCTCTGTTTTGGGCTTCTCCCTCTTCTTTCTGAAGGAGCGCCTTCTGGTCTTGCTCAGAGCACAGCTGGTGCCAGCCAGCTGAGTGTCCTCCTTACTGACGAAAGGAGGAACAAAGATGGACAGGACCTCCGGGTCGAGAGCAGAGAGGCTGCTGGCCCCCTTCTTCTGGGCCACCTGAAGCGGGCAGAAATACGAACACGTGTGCGCCCTGTCGTGCACCTTCTGAGTGCCCGCCGTTGGTTCTGTGCCCTCCACCCTCCACCGGGCACCGGCTCTGTCCCGCAGAGCATGTGCACAGCGAGGGCCGCACGGAAGCCGCCGAAGGGCCTCTTGGGCCACGCGTTCAGGCGAGTCACAGCACCCAGCAGGGCCTGGCTCTTCAGCGGCTACGAGGGGTGGTGACACAAGGTGTCCACTTCAGAGCCCGGTGCCGACAGGCAGACCCGAGTTCAGACTCGGCTCTGCTAAGGCCACAGCCAAGCTTCCCTTTCAAGAGGGGGGGTTGCAAGTCAAGTGCTCAACCCTCACGCCCCCACACCAGCGCCCCGCGCCCTCACGGGCCGGTGAGGAGGGCCCTGCACACTATCTGACCAGCACAAATGGGGTGCCAACACCGTGTCCCCCGCCAGCCGGGCCATTCCCCCAGCAGTCCCGTCACCATTGACCTGGGGACAGAGACTGAGGGGTGAGAAAACGGACCACTGGCTTCAGAGACAACACCTTCCTCCAGCGACCAAGTGGCCCCCCGGGGTCTATACTGGGGGGGGTCATCACCCAGCCCGAATACTTTCGAACTTTAACTTGGTACCAGATTTTAAAAAAACCTTCTGTCTTCTCATTCATCCCTAAAATGACATAAAGGCCACAGGCACTACCTTCGATCCCCATTCTGTCTGGCCAGGACGCCTGGCAGAGCTCCCAGAGAAGGCTGGCAGGCTGTGACAGGGCCGCAGGGGCTCAGCCCCCAGCTGGCACACAGAGAAGTCAAAGGCAGGACTCCCTGGGTAGCAAGGATGTGGAAAGGTGGGGGGCGGCTGGGGTGGAG